TTCACTCGTTTATTCCCACAATTGGATTCCTGTTTACTCAACTCTGAAGGCACTTTGTTCTTCTGATTACTCCCCTCGGCTGAACTTATCCTGGGAGAAGTTCTGGAGGTGTTTTCAACAGTAGCTCCTTCTCAGAGAAGTCCTCAGCCTAGCTCTTAAGACTTTGAAGAAAGTGACGGACTCTTGATTGTTTTAGATCAGTGATTCTCAACCTTTCTAATGCCGTGACCCCATAATACAGTTCCCCATGTTGTGGTGACCCCCAAGTGGGTGTGGCCACCAATAAGAGGGAGTAGGACAGCTAGAGAAAAGGGTAAAAAATGGCGGACAGCATGGTTTGTGACCCCCGTGAAATGGTCATTCGACCCCAAATGGGGTCCCGACCCACAGGTTGAGAACCACTGTTTTAGATGGTGTCGCTTGCTTGATTGATGTGGCAGTTTGGACTGTGTAACATTCATCGCTAGACTGAACAATAGTGGAAATGAAATTTAGCACATACCGTCTGCAAAGCTGTTTGCATCTAATGGTGGTCTATAAATGAGTGTTTGTGTAAGCAGGCAAGCTGAATTTTTCCAGTGTGGCTCTCAGCCCCAAACATTTTTCAGCCTTTAGCTCAAAATAAATCTTTCCACTCTATCAGAAAGAGGAAACACTCTGTGGTTATTGCCTCCAGAGCTGATGGTTTACCAAGCATAGATCACTGATGGTTGTTTTCTTTCCTGCATTTGCAGAACAGCAAGAAATAAGCAGTACAGTACTTAACATGTTACGGCCATGCTTGAGAGGCATTTGACAGATCTTGGTTTCCCAGGGAGCAAGCAAGGCTGCTGTAGCTTGGTGACTCGTTTCCCCTGTTCAGATTTGAAGTTTTCTGACCTGGTTCATATTCTACATTTGCCGCGTTCTGCTGAGTTTTCATTTTCAAGGTGAAAAATTGGAACGCTTGGCTGTGCTCTTATCTGCACCTAAGCTTCAGGATGAGACCGTGGCTTTTCTTTCACAAAGGAGAAGCGTTTCTGTTGTGTTCTGGGCCTGATAAGGAAACTCAGCAGGCCCAGAATGTTGCAATTGGTCCCAGGCATTCCAAAAGCTGCCCGGGACCAGACAGAGAGGCGCGAACTGGCTAAATTCCTATTGGTTAACACTGTCTGGGTCTCTGGCCCCATAAAAAGGCCTGTGTGCCTTTTGTTCCTTGCTTGGGTGTTGGAGAAAGAGAATAAAGTGTTAGTTACTTGTCACCATGTGTCTTCATCATTCGCACGCGAACGACGAACTCAACAGTTTCTGTCTCGATTATGTCACTGGAGATGTCATAAGTACAAAGAGGCACTTTCCACCTGCACAAAGTCAACAAGTACTGTAGGGATCAAAGTTCTTGCTTAGGCTTGCAAGATTCAAATGCAAGGAAGACAGGCTCAAGAAACAGACGGATCTCAACAGACTTGAACACTGGGCCTTATCTAACAAAATGAAATTCAAATTCAATAAGATTTTACACTTAGCAGGAAAAATCCAATATACAGGTACAGATTAGGTGAAAACTGGGTCAATAATTGTGAGAGGGATCTTGGAATCCTAGTGGACAATCACTTATATATGAACCATCAGTGTGCTGCAGCTGCCAAAAAAGCTAACATAATCTGAGGTTGCATTAACAGAAGGATAGAATCAAGATATCATCAAGTATTCGTACCGCTTTATAAATCTTTGCTAAGACCACACTTGGAATACTGCATCCAGTTTTGATCACCATATTATTAAAAAGACGCTGAGACTCTAGAAAGAGTGCAGAGAAGAGCAACAAAGATAGTTAGAGATCTGGAGGCTAAAACATATGAAGAACGGTTGCAGGAACCGGGCATGGCTAGTCTAGTGAAAAGAAGAACTGAGTGACATGATAGCAGTCTTCCAATATCTGAGGGGCTGTTACAAAGAAGAGGGGGGCAACCTATTTTCTGAAGCACCATAAGGCAAGACAAGAAGCAATGGATGGAAACTAATCAAGGAGAGAAGCAACTTGGAACTAAGGAGAAATTTCCCGACAGTGGGAACAATCTACGAGTGGAACAGCTTACCTTCAGAAACTGGAATCCTTGGTACTATGAACTTGGTGATTTTCTTGCAGACATTTCATTACGCAACTAGGTAACGTCATCAGTGCTAGAAGGGAGTGGGGTTTGCTCTTTATTTATATACAAGTGGCTTGCCCTGTCAATGTTGAAGGGAGTTCATAGACTTGTACATTTAACAGAGAGCAAACCCACTCCTTTCTAGTGTTGAAGCTACTGAACAATGGACAATGGATGGAAACTAATCAAGGAGAAAAGCAACCTGGAGTTAAGGAGAATTTTCCTAACAGTGAGAACAATTAACCAGTGGAACAGCTTGTCTCTGAAAGTTATGGGTGCTCCATCACTCAAGGCTTCTAAGAAGAGACTGGACAGCCATTTGTCTGAAATGGCATAGAGTCTCCTGCTTGTGCAGGGGGTTGGACTAGAAGACCTCCAAGGTCCCTTCCAACTATGTTACTCTGTTATTCCCCAGCTTCCTGTTGATCAGATTTGCCAGACTACTACTTCCATCATGCTCAGCCGGTATTGTCCAGGCTGCTTCTGAATTTAAAAGGTGAGACATGGAAAATGCTGCTCACCTCCACCATTAGCCTTGAACTCTGTCTCTCCTTGACTAGGCTTTAGGGTTGGGTAGGGTGAACCTGGCGAGGAAGAATTAGTGCCACTTATAAGGAGAAGACAACTAAACATCTTAATTTGCTCGGACACATTTATTTATTTAAATTTATATGGCCATCCAGCAACCCTGCACAACATCCAAACAGAAACCACAGGACAAAGCTTTCCACACAGAAGGCAAACTTTTTCATTCGAAAGAAATAATTCAAAACTAAAACAGCGGCCAAGAACAGAAAGCAACAGAATGTAATGAAATAGTAACTCCGCTGAGGCACAATCACAAAATGACTACAGTGGGAACTCAGGTTTCCCAAGGCTCAGATTGCCCGAGGATTTGCTGATACAGTTGTACAGAGGAATTATTGAGTCTGTCATTTGTACAGCAACCAAACAGGACAGGTACAGACTTCAACAGATAGTGAGGACTGCAGAAAATACAACTGCAACCAGCCTGCCTTCCTCTTGAGGACCTGTATACTGCATGAGCCAGAAAGAGGGCTTAGAAAATATCTACAGGCCCCTCACATCCTGGACATAAATTCTTTCAACTTTTCCACTCAGGATGCTGCTATAGGGCATTGCGTGCCAAAACAGTAAGGCACAAAGATTTTTTTTTTCCCCCATGGCATCACTCTGCTGAACACCTAATTCCCACATCATTGTGGTACACCTAAGAATATCTAATCATGTAGTAGGACTGTATTAATATTATCCTCCTCGTTTTTCTTATCTTTTCATTTTTCCTACTGCCTTCTCCAAATCACACTGATTAACAATTAATCAGTGAAAAATTGGATATGTCTAGTTTAATGAAGAGAAGGACGAGGGGGGACATGATAGCAGTGTTCCAATATCTCAGGGGCTGCCCCAAAGAAGAGGGAGTCAAGCTTTTCTCCAAGGCGCCGGAAGGCAGGACAAGAAGCAACAGATGGAAACTAATCAAGGAGAGAAGAAACCTAGAACTAAGGAGAAACTTCCTGACAGTTAGAACAATTAACCAATGGAACAACCTGCCTCTAGAAGCGGTGAATGCACCAACACGGGAAGTTTTTAAGAAGAGACTGGACTATACCATTTGTCTGAAATGGTATAGGTTTTCCTGCCTGAGCAGGGGGTTGGACTAGATGACCTCCAAGGTCCCTTCCAACTTTATTATTATTATTATTATTATTATTATTATTATTATTATTATTATTATTATTACTACTACTACTACTACTACTATTACTACTACTACTACTACTACTACTACTACTACTATTACTACTATATAATGTCTCCGGCCATGAGCAGAGGGTTAGACTAGAAAAATCTCTGAGGTCCCTTCCAGTTCTACGATTCTATGTTCTAAGTTAGTGGTTCTCAACCTTTTTAATGCCACGACCCCCAACCGGTCGTAAGTCGAGGACTACTCAACTGGTGCAGCACCGTTTGCAGAATGGGACTTTTGGCGGGCTCAGCAGGGCAGAGACAGCCTGGACAATTCCTATTGGCTTTTGAAAGCCAATAGAATTAGACTCTATTCAAGAGAGTCTATTCTATTGGCTTTCAAAAGCCAATAGAATAAAAGGGAGTAGCACAGCTAAGGAAAAGGGGGGGGGGGGAAATGGCAGACTGCGTTGTTAACGACCCCCGTGAAATGGTCGTTTGACCCCAAATGGGGTCCTGACCCACAGGTTGAGAACCACTGTTCTAAGTGAAGGATATCCATAGGATATGGTGAAAAATGTCAAGATGGGGGTTGACGGTGCAATCAAAACTCTGTTTTTTGTGTATGTTGAGGTGTACGTACAGGTTTTATTGGAAGACTTTGAAAAATAACACTGCAGACAAAGTCGGTGGCAAACTACTTACGTACTATGCCAAGAACATTGCTTGAAGACACCAGGAAGCTGGACTCTCCTTTAAACCAATTTTAAGCCAGACATTAGACATTTTGGACAGAGAAGGACCGGGATCTGTTCCCCTGGAGGCCCATCTTGGAAAAGACGACTGCTTTAGTTTTTCACCCACCCCTTCCTGAAAAAAAAAAAATCCTTTCATTTCACTCCCATCCAGCCCACCCAGTTTTCAGGGCAAAGTCATAAATAAATATAATTATAGGTGAACCCTGAGCGCATGAGTGGAGTGTTAAAATTACAACGCTTGTGCTGATGATATGCAGTGAATTTTCCTTTAAGAAATTCCTGGCAGAAGGCGATCCAGCCAGAAAGCTGGAGGTGGGGATGAGTCACCCAAATGAAAGGGAGAGAGAGAGAGAGAGAGAGAGAGAGAGAGAGAGAGAGAGAGAGAGAGAGAGAGAGAGAGAAGAGGCAGGAAAAGTTATTCCCGAAGAAAATATGCAGCCGTCCAACCTGACGTCAGATCTGTCTTTAATAAAGCTTCCCCAGAGTCAAGGAGAAGCGATTTCCATCTCCTGTCAATTCAGCGGCTGGAAACGGACTCCAGCAAAGGGAGTTGGATGTTGTCTTCTTCCAAGAACTGGGTTCAATCCATGTCTTTCACCCTGGCTTCCAGTGATGAGGTGGCTTCTGCCTTGGCTTCTAGTAACCAGCAGCATTTTGCAGGTAAGCTCCCCGCCCTGGTATGGTTTGGCAACCCAGGAGAAAGCGAGAGAAGAATGCTCATTACTAAAGGTGGAAGGTGGGGGGGGGGGTTGTTAAAAAAAAAAAACTCTCTCCCAGGCATTTAACTAACTGCAAGACTGAGAAAAGTTGCAGAGAAGGAAAAGACATTATCGCTTTATAATACCTTGGTAAGACCATACTTAGACTACTGCATCCAGTTTTGGTTACCACGATATGAAAAAGATTTTGAGACTCTAGAAAGAGTACAGAGAAGAGCAACAAAGATGATTAGGGGTCTGGAGGCTAAAACATATAAGGAACGGTTGCTGGAATTGGGTATGTCTAGTTTAACGAAGAGAAGGACAAGGGGGGACATGATAGCAGTGTTCCAATATCTCAGGGGCTGCCCCAAAGAAGAGGGAGTCAAGCTATTCTCCAAAGCGCCTGAAGGCAGGACAAGAAGCAATGGATGGAAACTAATCAAGGAGAGAAGCAACCTAGAACTAAGGACTGCATCCACTTTTGGTCACCACGATGTAAAAAAGATGCTGAGACTCTAGAAAGAGTACAGAGAAGAGCAACAAAGATGATTAGGGGGCTGGAGGCTAAAGCATATAAGGAATGGCTGTTGGGATTGGATATGACTACTTTAACGAAGAGAAGGACCGGGGGGACATGATAGCAGTATTCCAATATCTCAGGGACTGCCCCAAAGAAGAGAGTGTCAAGCTATTCTCCAAGGCACCTGAACGTAAGAAAGACAAGAAGCAATGTATGGAAATTAATCCAGGAGAGAAGCAACCTAGAACTAAGGAGACATTTCCTGACAGTGAGAACAAGTAACCAGTGGAACGACTTGCCTTCAGAAGTTCTGGGTACTCCCTCACTGGAGGATTTAAAGAAGAGATTGGACAACCGTTTGTCTGAAATGATACAGGGTCTCCTGCTTGAGCAGGGGGTTGGACAAGAAGACCTCCAAGGTCCCTTCCAACACTGTTATTCTGACCTCTGGCAAGGTGATCAGGTGAGGGCTGAAGAAGTACAGTGAGACCTTGAAGTACAGTGTCTATATGGAAGTTGTTCAGCTTTTTGACCCCTTAGGACAACTGTAGATCTGAGTAATGAGCTGGATGCGGGGGTGGTTGGGGGGGGGAAGAACCTGGAGAACAGAATGAAGCTAGACACATGGAACCACTCCATATATATTTTCCCATGTAGAGCTCCTGGTCTTGAAAATAAATGTGGGACTGCTTGGGTGGAGGACTATGGAAGAGTAGGGCAAGAGGAGATATTTAGAGAGAGAGATCAGCATCTCAAAGATAATAATACATGACTTCTGAGGGATGAATCAGTAACTTAGAAGATGCCACATGCGGCAGGAACTCGCTGGAAAATGCAAGCTTGTGAGATGAGATTTTTGCAAAGCTTGGAGGACTGCGGCAAAAGATTTACTAGACAGTGCCCAAACAGGAGAACTACATTTCCCACGTGGCAAAACAATTGAGGCCATTAAAAAGCACGGATTCCCTGATTTCCTGTAGGCTAAGCTCCAAGACTCAATCCAGAACATGACCCGTAGAAAGGGGCAGGTTGAAAAGCTTGCATAAAGGAAACAAATGTTAAGAAAAAGAAATTGAGCACAGGTTTCAGCGCTGAGGCTTTTATATCAGAGGTTGCCTTGTTCAGAAGCTGAGTAGGTAAAGCAGGTGAGATTTAGTAACTGCGGTGTCCTGAATCTTTGAATATCATTGGCAGGGAAGACGGGGTCTTTCGATAACTTCTAGATGGCCCTCTACCATTCAGAGGAACTACAGATCAGCCTACATGGAAGATGTAGGGGAAAAATCAGGGAGGGAGGGAGGAAGGAAGGAAGGAAGGAAGGAAGGAAGGAAGGAAGGAAGGAAGGAAGGAAGGAAGGAAGGAAGGATGGAAGGCAGGCAGGCAGGCAGGAAGGAAGGAAGGAAGGAAGGAAGGAAGGAAGGAAAGAAGGAAGAAAGGACCAGTCTGAATCAATTCACTGCAGGATAACTTCTAGATGGCCCTCTACCATTCAGAGGAACTACAGATCAGCCTACATGAAAGATGTAGGGGAAAAATCAGGAAGGAAGGAAGGAAGGAAGGAAGGAAGGAAGGAAGGAAGGAAGGAAGGAAGGAAGGAAGGAAGGAAGGAAGGACCAGTCTGAATCAATTCACTGCAGGATAACTTTAGATGGCCATCAACCATTCAGAGGAACTACAGATCAGCCCACATGGAAGATGTAGGGGAAAATCAGGGAGGAAGGAAGGAAGGAAGGAAGGAAGGAAGGAAGGAAGGAAGGAAGAAAGAAAGAAAGAAGGAAGGAAGGAAGGAAGGAAGGAAGGAAGGAAGGAAGGAAAGAAGGAAGAAAGGACCAGTCTGAATCAATTCACTGCAGGATAACTTCTAGATGGCCCTCTACCATTCAGAGGAACTACAGATCAGCCTACATGGAAGATGTAGGGGAAAAATCAGGGAGGGAGGGAGGGGAAGGAAGGAAGGAAGGGGCCTGGATCAGCAGGGGAAGGAAGGAAGGAAAGAAGGAAGAAAGGACCAGTCTGAATCAATTCACTGCAGATAACTTCTAGATGGCCCTCTACCATTCAGAGGAACTACAGATCAGCCTACATGGAAGATGTAGGGGAAAAATCAGGGAGGGAGGGAGGAAGGAAGGAAGGAAGGAAGGAAGGAAGGAAGGAAGGAAGGAAGGAAGGATGGAAGGCAGGCAGGCAGGCAGGAAGGAAGGAAGGAAGGAAGGAAGGAAGGAAGGAAAGAAGGAAGAAAGGACCAGTCTGAATCAATTCACTGCAGGATAACTTCTAGATGGCCCTCTACCATTCAGAGGAACTACAGATCAGCCTACATGAAAGATGTAGGGGAAAAATCAGGAAGGAAGGAAGGAAGGAAGGAAGGAAGGAAGGAAGGAAGGAAGGAAGGAAGGAAGGAAGGAAGGAAGGAAGGACCAGTCTGAATCAATTCACTGCAGGATAACTTTAGATGGCCATCAACCATTCAGAGGAACTACAGATCAGCCCACATGGAAGATGTAGGGGAAAATCAGGGAGGAAGGAAGGAAGGAAGGAAGGAAGGAAGGAAGGAAGGAAGGAAGGAAGAAAGAAAGAAGGAAGGAGGGAAGGAAGGAAGGAAGGAAGGAAGGAAGGAAGGATGGATGGATGGAAGGCAGGCAGGCAGGAAGGAAGGAAGGAAGGAAGGAAGGAAAGAAGGAAGAAAGGACCAGTCTGAATCAATTCACTGCAGGATAACTTCTAGATGGCCCTCTACCATTCAGAGGAACTACAGATCAGCCTACATGGAAGATGTAGGGGAAAAATCAGGGAGGGAGGAAGGAAGGAAGGAAGGAAGGAAGGAAGGAAGGAAGGAAGGAAGGAAGGAAGGAAGGAAGGAAGGAAGGAAGGAAGGATGGATGGATTAGTCTGAATCAATTCACTGCAGGATTACTTCATAGTTCTGATCTACCATTGTCAGCCCTTCAAGGTAGACCAGAGAAGAAGTACCAACCATGAGTACTAGTTTTGTCTTTACAGTCAAGTTACAGTGACCGCAGCTTGCAAGTCTGAAAGCATTCCTCCCCATCCTCACCTTCACTTTCCAGAAAACTAAAATCATGGGGTAGACAGTAAAGAAAAACATATATTAGAGAGATAAACTGCATGAATTCTTTTTGCCTCTTGTCTGCACAGCTATAATTGTTTGGCTTTAAATTCCTTAGCCAGGCAATGCAGTGTGTGTTTAAAATGGGGCTCGCACAGGGCTTTCTCGCTCTGTGTTTACATTCTCTGATTATAACTTGGTCTGTGGTTTTTATGATCACTTTGGACTTCTCCAAAGCACTGATGGAAAAAAAGGCACCATCATTTTGCAGGGTCAAATTTGGAGGGTCAATTTCTTTTAACCATCTAGGGTGAAGGTAGATCTTTCGTGATCAACAGCATCATTTTTCTGGAGAAATGCACAATCGTGCTCTTGTTAGGCAAATGCATGTGACAGTGGGATTGTTCTGCTCTTTTTGGTATGAGGGTCTTCATGGTGCATCTGCTTTAGCCTGTGGTGCAAATCTGGACCATCTGATTAATGATGGTTCAAAGTATCCTGCAAGTCTTGAGAATGAGTTACTCAGTACTCTGGATCAGCTTGTTGCATGAACACAACTATAAAGCTGGACAAAGCCTTTGAGATCATCATGTCCAGCCCTCTGCTCATTGCAGAAATCTAGACTACAGCATCCCAGATAGATAGATAGATAGATAGATAGATAGATAGATAGATAGATAGATAGATAGATAGATAGATAGATAGAAACACATCCACCTCTTTCCTTGGATATTAACTCTGCTATTAAGCTGTTCTTCCTTTCAGGAAACTTGCCCTAATGTTTAACTAAAATACACTTTCGGGTAAGTTTGCTCTGTATTCCATATTTTGCACTCTGAAACGATAGAATGATAGAGAACAAACCCTGATTTTCTCCATTCAAATACTTGAAAAGTGGTGTCATATCCCTGCCCCCAGCTCAAGTTGCCTTTGCGTGAATTCATCCAGCTGGACATCCCAAAGATGGTTTTTCAAAAGGCAACTGGACTTTGGTTTTTTCCTTGAAGATGTTTTGCTTCTCAACCAAGAAACTTCTTTGGTTCTGACTAAATGGTGGAGGATGGAAGGATTTATATTCCTTGCAGTCATCTTTCTGAGAGTCGTTGAGGACACTTGGAGGGTTTATCTATGCCCACAGGGTCACCTGAATAGTGCAAATGGGTGTGGAGCCTTCTGGGAAATGCTGAAAGGATGGTGTTGTAAACAGGAGATAGTTGGTGTCGTATCCCTCCCCCTCTGATGAGAGAGGTCTGTTCAATCCTAATGTAGATGACCACAATCATGACTGGATGACTTAGAATCTCCATAGACATCCAGATGGTAAGATATCCAGATGGAGAATCTCCATAGACATCCAGATGTTCTTCCCTCG